TACCATTCGAAAATAATCTTGAGTGCTCACATGCCGTGTGAAGAAAGCAAGGAGTAATATTCTTAACGCCATAGCACATCTCCCGACATCCATTTTGAAAAAAACAACTGTCAATATATCAAACACGACACTCATTATTCATTTAATTATTCAAGCCGACTTTCCACTCACTGTAACATCTGCAATATCATTATTTCAATTACTTATGCAACTATTTTAATGCGTGCATTTTAATTTGGAATAAATTTTTGTGTTGCGTAATAAAGTAGTGTGATTGACTAATTTTTGGCGGGAATTTTTGACAGCGTGGTTTTTTAATTTTTCCGCGCCTAAATTTGGGTCACGGTGGTTTGAGTTTTCGCACTTTTTGGTGGAAATATGTTTTAGTGTCCCAATCTGTGTGGTTTGCTTTCTTGTGGACGACTGAGCTACGTTTCCTTCGCCTTTGTTTTGTGCATGGTTTGATGAGCACGAATGCCTGAGTCACAAGAGAGCGGCACGCGCCAGAATAAATGTGTCTTGAGATATATCTTGTGGTTTTCCTTTTATTATTATAGTTTATAGCTTGATAAATAAAAATAATGTTGAATTTTACTTCGACATTATTTTTATTTATCAAGCTATTAGCGACTTCACAAAAGGTATATTTTTCACAAGAGGTTACCATGAGCTTGTACACAATTTGTGGTATAATTTAGATTAGAAACCCATTGTAACACTCGTAATATCATAGCCATTGATCGTAGCTGTTGAGGCAGAAAAAAAGTTCTCGAGTGGCGAACACAGGCAGAGAGAACACAGGCATAATGTGACTAGGTATCCCACTTGGTGGACCGACGATTTGGTTGTAGGAAGCACCTGGAAGCGGGCAGCACAGGACCGGTCGTTGTGGAATCTTAGAGCGAGGTCTTTGTCCAGTAGTGGACGTCATTTGGATGAAACGAAATACTTTTTACCCATCTTCAAAAAGGAGGTACAATTCGGTTGTATTTTTTAAAATCTTTATTTAAGGAGCTTGATCAACATTAGGCGAACATATCGCTCCGTATAGCCACATTTTAGTTTTAAATGACTGAGTTTGAGCAGAGTTACCTCCGCTTCAAATCCACTCTGACCAATTTGTATAGTGCTCTGGCTTCCCCAAAATTTCACAAGAGAACTGTAAATATTACTTTTCTATCTCTTGTGTATCGGTTGGTCTCGCGCTACGATCGCGTGTGACAATATTACCGTAGATCAAACAAAATGCAAAAGCGACACGCTATAGAGTTACATGGATGTGAATTAGATTGTGCCTAGTTGAAAGATATCGTTTCTCTATGATAAATATTTTCTAAAGGGCATAATGAGGCGATGCTGTACCTCATACCATTGCCCTACATTTACAACTGCTATCGACTACTTTACTACTTTTCATTAAAGGTAATACGGTAGTAATTTCTACATACAGAGTTTGATAGGAATAAAAATAAGGCGATTATCACACTGCACCGCGCTGCAGTGTGATAATCGCATAACACTATTAGCGTAGCTGCTATCTAAACAACTTCAAAATATCCAAGGAATCATAATAACCCTACTAATGCTTTTGTATAAAATTATACTAACTAAAAGTCTTGTGTTAAGGTAGGTACTGCGAATGTTACCAAATTACACATTAAAAGTTTTTGTATTTTGGGGCCACTTAAATTTTTTCAAACTTAGGCACAAAACTTTCGTTAACTAGAATATTTTATGTAGTGCACCTTCTGCGACTGAATGTTATTCCTTCTTTAATCTATGCCCAATCTTGCTTTGCTCGTAATGATCACATTTTCTATTTGCGATATATGACTCGTAGCATTTCCAATTCCAAGTAACGTCTATCTCATCAAAAGTACAAAATCATAGCCAGAATAATTAATTAATTACATGTAATTTATTTTATTAATTTAATTTGAATTCGTACAGCGATTCGCGGACATTAAAGTAATTTAATGAATAAATAATACAATTATCTAATGAATTACATACAATTTCTATCAATAATTTGTACCGCCTAATATTCTCAGTTTGGCCCTAAGGTTGACTGGAGGAGAATGCCGAATGGCATTAAGTTCACCTAATGTACCGTGGTTTATGCGCATAAAAATTTTAAAGTTCAACTCGTAAAAAAGTTTGTAAGGGCTTGTTCCCGTTTAATAGTCTATGGCTGGGTTGCACCATCTTACTTTAACGTTAACAAACTCCAATCAAAAACACCGGTTATTGTTATAGTCATGGTTAAAGTAAGATGGTGCATCTCAACCAGTGGCGTAGCTAGGTAGTTAATCAAGGGCCCTGGGGCAAACAATAAAATGGGGCTCCACTGCTACAACCCATAGAAAGAATTTAGGTGAATTCCCTAGTTATAACTTTCGAATTTCTCTCTATTCATTTTGAAAATGGGAGAAATTTTCCAAGTTCAGTACAATTGAGATTTTCTGGTAAGGATTCGGGGGCCCCTTGAGCTTGGGGGCCCCGGGGCACCGCCCTAGCCCCTTAGTAGCTACGCCCCTGATCTCAACCTACGTCTTTTAATATAACGTTCATAGGAATATCCCGTTTGCAGTGTCCCGTAAAATGACCCCAGTTTAAGTAATACAGGATATCCCGCAAAACTGGACTGTCATTAAATATAATATCAGGACTCATGCCCTAAACTAACTATAAATAACTCAAAGGTGACTGACTGACTGACATCGTGATCTATCAAAGTACAGCCCAAACCAATGGATGGATCGGACTGAAAGGCATGCAGGTAGATGTTATGACGTAGGCATCCGCTAAGAAAGGATTTTACGAAACTCCACCCCTAAGGGGGGTAAAACGGGATCCACGAGTATGAAGTCGCGGGCGGCAGCTAGTAAAATATAATATCAGGAGTCAGGCAGGACCAAACCTTTTCAATAGTCCAGGACAACGTGACCACCAGACCAGCGAGCCTATGTAAATTAACGCCATTTTCTTTAGGGCACCGCCTAGTACAATGTGTAACCGAAGACGCGACACGCTCTGAAAACCCCATTGTTGGGGAGGGAAGGAGACGGATGTATGCGCGGGAGTGGGATAGTTAGTTAGGGTGGGGTACAGTGGGTGCAGTGATATAGCTAAGCTATGGTCTAATATTTAGTGCTAAGTACGAACAGTATCTACAGCAGCAAACACTTTATCTCGTACAATCGATAGCAAATCAAATTACGGCCATTTTGTTGCAAAATTTTTTTTATCCACAACGAGGAAGCTCTTGGCCTGTATTTCACCTGATGGTAAGTGATGATCAGGCCGAAGATGGAAGCGAGCTTCATCCGGAATCCTCAACCACAGACAAACTGGCTATCTTACCTCTAACTGCCGGAACACAACAATGCTGTTAACATTGTTGTTATGGCGACATACTTACGAGTAGGTAAGAAGGTGGTAGCTAGCCAGGCGGACTTGGAACAAGCCGAACACACTAACCAAACCGAACAGAAAATTCTGCCCCCACTGGGAATCGAACCCGGGACCCATTACAGAATGAAGGTCAAAACTTATTTCAATTTTTCACAAGAAATTACTAAATTAAAATTCTTTAAAAACTTAGATAATTGTTCCTTTCAGCCAAAAATGAGGTCCACTGCTGGACAAATACTTCCCCCAAGGATTTCCACGACCAGTCTTGCGCTGCTCGCATCCTGGTACTTCCGCGCCCTATATTAGATCATCGGTCCACCTTGTGGGAGGCCTGTCATTAGAGTGACGACGAAGGACTGGAAGACTGTCATTACCTAAGTATCTAACACCCGTATTCACAAACATTACTATATGAGGTCTCACAGTGCGCGTGGACACACAGGATGACACACGAACCAATCACAGAGCTTTATTTAACGCTGTGCGTTCGATTTTCTGCTTCACGGTGTAAGTATAGCAATAGCATAGCATTTAAGTGTGAACTAACCTTAGTGTTTTACTGGATGCTCCTACACGACTATGGTAGCCTGGTACCTACTTTTATGAGTCAGAATGAAATCAAATACTCATAGATTATTTTGATGTGTGTTTTATAATTTATGCATACCTATTGTTCATTAATGATCTCTCAAAGGCGCTAGAAATTAAAGCCCGTATTCACAAACGATGCTTGCTTAAATTAAGCAGAAAATCGAACGCACAGCGTTGAATGGAGCTCTGTGATTGGTTCGTGTGTCACCCTGTGCGTCCACGCGCACTGTGAGACCTCATAGTAATGTTTGTGAATACGGGCGTAAGTTACTGACATTACATACATCCAAATAGAGTAAAAATTGTTAAACCAACTGGAAATCGAACCCGAGACGAGTCTTAGACAGGTTGTGTTACCACTAGATCACGGAGGCGATTCGTGACAGACAAGATTCGTTTTGGAATAAGTAAAAAACAACAAATTAATGTTACTTTGTCTAGAAGTCCTTACTTTTAAGTTTGTTTTTGTTCGTTTTGTATTTAAATAAAAAGATGATTAGTAACAAAAATAGAAGTTGTTTAAAACTTTAAAGTACAGTTTTACTAATAATAAAAATAGCAGTTACTTCATAAAAATATAGGCATTTATTTGTGATATTAGGTAATTACAAATCTAATCAAATCACCTATTTACACTAAATAAAAATTAAACTGTATCCTTTACTAATTATAAATAAAATATACAAATATTATGGTAAGGGGAAGGCATGAAAATGTATCAGTCTAATTTATACAATGCCAGCATTAATAATCCATTGCATTATACAGGTGTCCTAAAATTAACACGTCACACTGACACTGGAGGTAGGGCGTGACACTGGGCCTAAGAGTTAAGACGCATTGAACAAGCCTATTCTATGTCCATAGAAAAGTTTTATAAGTTGAACATTAACCAATTTAACTAAAATTAAAATTTTGATGAGTTTTGAAATATGACTGATATTAGTTATTTTTAAAAATGGACTTAGGCGATTATCACACTGCGCCGCGCTCCGCCGCGGTACGCGGGACGACAGATTTAATCATTGTATGCAAGTACCTCAGTTTGTATAGAAAACACGCGCGGCACAACACACTGACAACGAGTCTGTGCGCCGAGCCAACGGGATTTTTTATATGAAATCACGCGGACCGCGGCGCAGTGTGATAATCGCCATAATGTTCAATGCGTCTTCGGTTCATCTACCTCTGGTGTGAGTGACATGCAAAATTTGGGACACCCTGTATAAATAATTTTACATTAATCTATTTTGTATTAAAATCAATATTTCATGATTGTGTGCTGATGTCAATTGCACCTTCTAAGGGTTGCTCTATTACAGTGTTAAATTTCTTTTTAGTCGTATCAATATTGTGTCTACGTTTCATATGTTTTTTGAAGTTCGAACCGTTGGTGAATTCTCTCCGACAGTATATACAGTGGTACGGTTTAGCCCCAGTGTGCTGTCTCAAATGTAAGTTGAGTCGGGTTTTGAAACGGAATGTCTTATGACAGTATTCGCAGACGTATGGCATCAAGTCTGTATGGACTATCGAGTGCGATTTCAAATGGCGTTTCACTCTGAAGCTTTTTCCACACTGCTCACAGACAAATGGTTTCGCTCCAGAGTGCAGACTGACGTGGGATTGGAGATTGCCTCGTGCCCGAAATGCCATTGGGCAGAATTCACATTTGAAAGGCTTGGTGTCATCGTGTGTTGCCATATGAGTGCTTAGTGTACCTTTTGTGAAGAACATTTTGCCGCAAATGTGACACGAGAAGTCTCTGCTACGATTCGAATGCACTAACATGTGCTGCTGCAAATTGCTTCTCGATTTAAACTCTTTATTGCAACTAGAGCATTTTAAATCAGACTCAATATTCTCCGTTTTCACTTTGCGTTTCTTGATTCCCTTAGAATACAATAGGATGTGGTCTTTTAAAAGCTCGTGTGTTTCAAAGCCCGTACCGCAGTTTCCACACATAAGTAAAAAGGCATCTCGGTGGACCATATTGCAATGTTTCTTCATATGAGACGATCTGGTGAACCGTTTATTGCAAAACTCGCAGCAATATCTGAGCAGTTTGTTGTGAATTCTTACGTGGTTTATGAATGTCCTAAAGTTGGCGATGACTTTGTTACAGTCCGAGCATTTGAACGAACAGCAGCAAGAATGTATTTGTAGCGAGTGCAGACGTAGTGATGCGATATTCTTGCACTGGGCATCGCAGTGAGCACACCTGCACATGTAATCATCCCATGTTAACGGTCGTACATCTAAGCCATTCATTTCTATTTCTACAACCGAACGCCTCTTCTTTTTTGACTTTTTCTTTTTAACGGCTAACCTCAGAGGCAGGTCGCTGTCTGAGGAGTCGATAGGTTCATCATTTGCTCCCATATCACTTTCGTTTTCAGTTTTTATCAACGAAAAGTCTACGTCTAGCAAAGAGTTAGGATCTACAGTGATAATTTGCAAGTCGTCTATAGGAAGTTCGTCTTTCACCTCCTGTTTCGTGTCTTTAAACTCTTCCCAATCAGTATTAACCGGTTTTCCGGCCTCTACAGGGCTCCCAGGCTTCACATCGTTGGAATCGTCCGACTCAGTTTTCTTCAAGAATATATTGTTTAATTTCTCTTGAGCAGTCCTTACGTTGTGTAAAAACGACCACGTACGCTCTAATAAGTCGAAGCATGAGAAGCAGATTGTCGTCGGTAGTGCATTTGAAGAAATATCGACGTTAATCCATTGCATTTTCGCTGATATTTTGGAGTTGAGACCGACATCTTCATCGGGCGATAACAGCTGTGCTACCGGCGTAGGCTCGGCGCACAGACGGCAGTACCCATCTTCTTGTTCAGACATTGCTATTTACATACTCACTTTCCAAGCATTTGAGCGAATTATATTAATAAATTGGTTTGTAATTTGTAAAAAAGTGAAAGATGCAATCAATGATAAACAAATTTTGACGTTTCCCTGACGCAATGATGTAATTATGTTGCCAGTAAAAAGGAAAACTACCATCGTTTAAAATAACGTTATACCGTTATTTACCGATAACGTTTTTTTTTAATCAGTATTCTTCACAATGTTTATTCAAAGTATTAGATATTTATCGAATCTCTATTATCATATAGGTACACATCAGCTTGTATAAATGATAAAAAAATATATACATACTGTACTATTTACTCTTTATAGACAGGTTTTTAAGTCAGCGATTTGGAGTGAACTCTCCTGTGGGTCTAGACAAAGTGTAAATTATAATCGCAAACCAGTCGAAAAGTGGTCGAAAAGCCCCTTTTTTGTATGGAGTTTTGACGGATTCGATTTTCGATTCAATCAAAAAGTGCGTTTTGTCTAGGGGGGCTGATGAAAATTTAAAGCATAAAGTAGTCCACATCGACTATTAAACATGCAGGCCAGGAACTAAAGCAAATTGGTAACATAGCAGCAATTACAAATAAGTACTTATACTGGATTATCTATCTAGAATTAAAATTAAAATTATTTATTGCATATCACTTGGGTGGGTAAGGGTTGGTAGGTAGAACATCTTAGAAAACTATTAGTCGACTGAAATGAAGCTGAAAAAGGTCACGATCATGAGTTTCTTCTGCCACTTCTTCTTGCAAGGTATCAAATATTATATTTCTTGAAAAGAAAAATCCACAATCACTCTGTATTCACAAAGAATATTCAGGAACTAGGAGGAGTGGATATAATTGGCGATGACTAACAAAGAACAAAAGGCCACCGAACCATTTCTTTGCAATAAATTTGCTTCACGTTCGCACATAATTCCTATGGCGATGCTAATAAATTTCCTAGTATCAGTGTATTTTTGAAATGCCTGAGTCCAGATGTTTTTCTAAAGCTCACACAGTTCGTGACTAGATTTTAAATAATTTCCATTGTCCAATCAGTTTCCATTGTGTTGGTGTCATTTTGGTAATTTTAATTCGTAAAACTTATCACGGTATTCTGGTTAGTGGTCTTCGAGATAAACATCTTTGATGTTATCTACGTGAGGGAAACATAAATAATATATTAAACGATTTGTTTTATTATTTTGATTTAATTGTTATTTATTTAACGAGTTTTGTATGGATTGAAAGAATTTTTTTTTACCGTACCTAATATCTTATTTAAACAGTTTAGATTCTGATGTAAAATAAATATAACAAATCACAATCTTGTTTGTACATAATGTTTGTGAAAGTAGTAATTAAAATTGCTTGTTATTGTAAACAAAATTTTTTCCTTATGTTTTTGTCACAAAACCCTAAGGAAAAAAAGCTTGTGCTCTTCGTTACGAAAATTTTGAGTTGTTCGTGTTGCCATATCCAAAAAAGTTTATGAATGGGTAGAAATTAATAAAAAGCTGCACATAACGTGAAAAAGCAGCAATAATGGAAACAGTGCTACAAAACTACAACTTTATGTAAAATCTCGTTTTGCCTAGGTCATTGGCATCGTAGTGCCACATTCAGGTATTCTAGCCGCGTCCTAGTTAGTAATTCCTACGTGAAAGCTCAGAATCTAAATATATTATTTGATACTATGTCTGAAGAAGCTGTAGGAATAGTTATTTTTTATTAATTTCTACAAATGAAACTTTAATGATAACAAAAACTACTGCCTAGGTACTTAAATCTTGCTAATTAATTAGGTCGTCTTGTTATCGAATAAAATACTGTTTAGCCCAAAGGTTGACTGGAAGATAGTGCCATATTTCTTAAAAACATAAGACCATACCATTATTTGTATTGTATTGCTGTTGGTTTTCCGAATAAAATAAAATAAAATAAAAATAAAATAGCCCATAGCATTAATGGCATTAAGTTCATAAGTAGGTAACTGATGTAAAATGAATTAAAGTATGATACCATTTTAGGCCAGAAATGAACTCACAGCGCAAACTGGTGACTGAGTTTGATGCGGCGCGTTTTCTTAGCACTTTTTTGGTCTCAAAAAATATTCAAACTAATTTCACGCGTACAAAGTCGCGGGCACAGCTTGTCTTATTGATAAATTCGACAGCTTTAGCCAAGTGATCTATGTCACATAGTTGATTGCACTCGTGCGAAAGAACTCGGCGACTTTGGGACGTGTGGAGAATAAAATTTGGCAAAATATTCGGAATATTTGGCGACACGCCTTAGAACTATCGAAAATAAGGTCGTATAAGGCGTTTAGTATGGCATAATTATTTAGCGAGGACTTCTGCTGAATGCTTATTAAAATTATAGCGAAGCGATGAATCAACAAGGACAGTGTCGAATCTCGGTCAGTATAAAAACCAAAACCGCTAGTGCAAGTGGGAAAACCACAATTTTTTTTTATTAACCACACCGGGGAATCTCTTGCTGATGGAAAGAGATGATCAGGCCGAATGCGGAAGCGAGCTTTACCCGGAATCCTCAACCACAGAGTTTACAAAAAAAACGCAAAGTACGAGTCGGAAAAAGCAATTTCTTGTATTTTTATTCGTCTCGGAGCCAGAGGTCCCAGGTTCTATTCCCAGCTGGGAAAACATTTTCTACTCAGTTTGATTTTTGATAGGGCTTGTCTAATAAAATTCTGTCTGGCTATCTACCACCAGCTTACATAAGTCTGTCACCATAACAATAATGTTAACAGCATTGTTGTGTTCCGGCAGTAGCAGGTAAGATAGCCAGTTCCTCTGTAGTTGAGGATTCAGGTAGCTCGCTACCACCTTCAGCCTGATCATCACTTTCCATCAGGTGACTACAGCCCAAGAGCTTCCGTTCATCACGTTTATTAAAATTAAGTTTAGTGGTACACTAATGACCACTGCTGGACAAAGGCCTCCCCCAATGCTTTCCACAACGACCGGTCCAGCGCCGCCCGCATCCGTGGTCACCATTCGAGAACTTTTCTGCCCCAGCGGCCATCAGCTCTACGAGCTATGTGCCCCGCCCACTGCCACTTGATTTTAGCAATTCCGCGGACTAATGTCAGTCACTCTGGTTCTCCTGCGGATCTCCTCATTCCTGATTCGATCACGCAGGGAAACTCCGAGCATAGCCCGCTCCATCGCCCTTTGGGTGACCTTGAGCCTTCATAGGAGGCCCATGTAAGCGACCACTGATGACCACAATGACTTTTTTCGCCAAAAACGGTTACTTAATCCCATTTGTTTTAAACATAAATCACTATAACAGTACAATGTCGGTAACTGTACCGACCGTGACCCCGAAATTGGGCGCGACTTTACTCGCGGTGAATATTTAAAATAATTTGGCGGTGTTTTTTGCAAAGCTTACTGAGTGTACATATAAATTTTGGGAGGATATTTATTGAGTAAGGTAGATGGAAGAGTGATAAAATACAAAATGCATATTCTGGCAAATAAATGCTTCTTATCTTATCTTATCTTATCTAATGATCTGTCTGTCTTCCTAAAATTATAGCAAAACCGAATCGATTAAGAAATGGTTCGATAAGTAGTGGGACTGTATTTTGACGAAGGCGTCTAAAGGCTGATTACTTCCCCCTTAAAATTAACTGCTTAATTAATCCCCGAGCTTTCAAGTTTAAACTACTAATCCGATTTAGTTGATGCTATAGATATATGTAGTTTGAGGTAGTACTTATTATTATTCTGTGGTTTGAGACCCAAAAAAACATAGGATAGTTTTTATCCCGGTTTTTGGAAGACTTTCTTTCGGCAGGCTGAAATTCATGAGGGACAAATCGTAGGCAAAAGCTCCTACTAGGGAGTCCTTAGTAAAAATTAATAGCAAAACTTCAGCTCAACGTCACTTATTATTCAGCTATTGTCTTGTAATGTTGTAATGCTTATTGCGATCATAAAGTTTTTCTATTCTATTCTATGTTCACCCACAAGATGGACCGACGACCTCAAAAAGGTAGCGTGAAGGCACTGGATGCAGGCCGCTACCAACCGGCCATTGTGAAAATCATTGGGGGAGGCCTATGTTCAGCAGTGGACGTCCTATGGCTGAAATGATGATTCTATTCTATTCTATTCATTTTTCTTATCAATAAAAAATAATAAAAAATAATAATTTAAAACATAAGAGTTGTCCTTCTAAGTAATAAGCCTAGTTTTGACCACATAATATAATACATTAACTGGGTTTGACTGTTTGAAAGGATACCTAAGTATAAAACTAAAATAAAGTAAAAGTTTTTCTACTATAGTGTTTTTTTGTGAAAATTCAGGTCAAAAATATTCGCAATTTCAAAGATAAAGCCAAGATAACTGGGTAGGTAATTTAAAAAACCACAGGTAGAGATGTGTTAAAGATACGTTACTTGTTGATTATCAAGATGTGATAGAATTTCAAGCTCATTGGTTTTCGAGTCACATCCCGGGCCGGCCAAAGCGCCAAAGCTTTGTAGCGTCAGCAAAAAAATGGATAAAGTTCTCCAAAATAAAAATTAAAATAATGTAATTTGTCTTTACATTAGTTATCCGAATCTTTGGTTCAAAATGAAAGCCATTTTTCTATGTGTAATTTTGGCTTCAGACTTTAAATCTTGAGTAAGTACGTAGGTCAATAATCACTTTTTAGGTACTTCACATAGGTAGTTCTGTTATAATATTTTGGTGTAATTTCAATGAAATAATAGTCTAAGGATGTTTGGACTAAATAAAAATATTTTTCTTTCTTTCTTTCAAATAAGGTCATTAATAAAATTGTTTAGGCCCGTATTACAGAGCAAATAATTCAATTTCAAGTGTAGATTGATGTTCTGTCTGATTGGTTGAACTTAAATATTTCGAATCTATAATAACTGAGGTTGAATCGAATTTAGAGCGTAGTTTTTACAATCATGATCATCAGGTCATTATTTTAGTGTCCACTACAGGAGCACGACCCTCTTCAATTACCAAAGGCAATTTTGTTAATAAATAAATCATTATTGAGCATTCACACATGTTTAAATAGGCTAGTTGCCTAAAAAAATTTTTTTAGTCCGTAATGTTTAATATCATAAAATATTGGACACATATAATTTTATTTGTCAATCTAACAAATAATTACATAGTTATGGTGCGTTGAAGTTGCGCACGACGTCACAACGTGCGGCATTTTTAAGCAAGCGGTGACGTCACGGGCCTCTTCTTATGAACTTTGGGGCGCTATATCTCTTTAAATTTTTATTAGTTTGAAAAAGTGAAAAATACGTGTAAAGTATTTTTTGATAAGTTAACTGACGGACTAATTAAAACTCTTGCTTTTTGACCCAGGCAACATCCCCATTACTTGGATACGGGCAGCGCTGGACCGGTCATTGTAGAAATCCTTGGGGAGGCCTTTGTATAAAACACCAGAGGGCAGGGTGAAAACAAAAAAAATATTTTTTTTGCCTTTTTTGCTGACGCTACCTAATCCTGCATTGGCGATTCAGCAAACTTTACCCGCGTTTATAAAAGGGAGTATGCTGCGCGGCCCGGCATTCCCGTGGATTTGCCAAAACTACGAGTACTGTGTTGTGTGATTACTTTTTTGCTGACTGTGCGTGATTTGGATTTAGTTTTTTAAATATTTTTGGTAAGTTGCAAACATATTTTTATAACAATTAAGAAATATATTTTAATTATTGATGTTAATCTAACTTAAGTTTAAAGTCTTTTTTTTACTTTTTGGTAACTTTAAGATAGCAATTTTAGACGATTTATACAAATTAAGTCGATTGGATCTATAAACTTTTGATTTGATTTAAAAGATATCGATTTGCCATCGCTTTTAAAGCATTTTTGATATAACATCACAGAATAACATGTAGCTATATTTGATAAGCCACACCATTGAATGCAGGACCAATCGAAGTAACAAGTTCATAAAATCTGAAACTTTAAATCAAATCAAATCATATAGGCCAGGGTCAACTATTCTAAGTTATCAGTTTTGTTTTCAGAGGAGATCAATATTTTTATATTACATTTAATAAGCACTCATTTTACTGGTGACTTTTCCAAAATTAAAAAAAAATGTGATAATGGTCATAGTTTGACCAAAAACTTCAGATGTTTTCGGCTTCGAATCATGAACCATTTACACCCTGTATTTAAAAATTTCCATAAAATAATTATACAAGTTTTGATATGACTCTTTATTATGCTACTAGCTTTTGCCCGCGGCTTCACCCGCGTGAAATTTAGTTTGTCACAGATCGTCATAAATTATAGCCTATGTTATCGGTTATAAAGAATAATAATGTGAAGTTTCATCAAAATCCGTTCAGTAGTTTTTGCGTGAAAGAGTAACAAACATCCATCCAGACATCCAGACATGAAAACTTTGGCATTTATAATATTAGTAGGATAGCAACTCGAACTGTATAAAATGCACGTCCATAATTTTCTCATAAATATTGTGTCTCTATCTAGAATGTTATTTCTTTACAGGTCAGTCAGACATCAAAATGAGGCTCTCTCCAGAACACCTGCTTCTAATATTCTGCCTGTCATTTGTGGCAGCTGATGAAATTGACATCGAGGTTTCCAGTGGGACTATCTTGAAGTTTTTGAGGGTAAGTAATAGTTTAAAGGTCATAGCAGACTTATCAAGTCGGAAAGGGATCTCGCGAGCTGTCAACCGCGAGGTGAGGCGCGTAGGCGTATAGTTCCAAAATACTGAACTGTCCTATCCATGACATTGACAGCGGGGCGCCACCGTCAATACCGGATCGCTGGTTCCGATTTTTGCCATGTTGGAAACCATATAGTTGAACGATGGTAGCGCCCCCCTGTCATTGAGTTTGGTGGGACAGTTCAGCGTGGGTCATCTATACTTACACGATACGGTGTGAACAAGTGTGCTTTGCAGTACGAAGTTTTGTACAAAGAATACTGACCGCTTAGAAATTATACGGTTACGATCCTTTTTCGGGTTGATAAGTGTGCTACGTCCTTTATGCTTAGCTAGTATACCTACTCGTAGTAGTAGCTTCGTTTCAGTTTCAATCCAAGCAAGAAATCTCTTTAAAGTTAAAATCACCAGTGCTTTCTACATTTTTTAACTTTATCCCTAAATATATACCTATGTATTTAATTGTGGTTCAAAATAAGTAATTATTCTGAGACCAACTCTACCTTCATCAGTTGTGTTTTGTGTTCATCTATTGCCCGTCTAGTTGTGTAGTTCCTAGCTACACAAGAGTTACAGCAGTGGGAACGAAAGATTTCAATTAATAGTCTCGTAAACCTTGTGATACCGTGTCACGTATTTTAATCTTTAGAATCAGTATAAAAAAATTAAAATGATACCTTAAAATCTCACGAAGTTCCAAAATTTATTTGTTGTCCCATTATCCGCACGCGAGTGTAGACATCGTACAGCGCATGGCACTTTCGTTGTTGACAACGCAATGTTTGTTAAGCTTTGACAACATTTTTTAGTAAGGTGTCCGTAAATTATGGATTTGTAAATATTATTTAGTCAAAATGTAACATGATATAAAAAATATTGCGATGGATTCTATTACTGATTCTGAACAAATAGTTTTAAGGTTTCGTATATACTAAAAATAACCTTGTATACATAGCTCTTCTTCTACTTTTAGGAAATGTCAAATCAAACCAAAGGAGACACATTGAACCTGCCCGCCAACGCGACGTCCATCAGAGAGAACATCACTGACACGTTTAGGTAAACTCATCTTGTATTAACGACAATTAAAAGGCGTACAGCGCCATCTTGTAGTATAGAGGCTGTAAGAATTGAGTTCTGTTGTGAACTGATACCTGAATATTCTTAATTGTACTTATTATTACCGTATTCACAAACGATGCTTGCTTAAGTGAAGCAGAAAATCGAACGCACAGCGTTAATTAAAGCTCTGTGATTGGTTCGTGTTACCCTGTGCGTCCACGCGCACTGTGAGACCTCATAGTAATGTTTGTGAATACGGGCGTTAGTATCGCGATGAGCCTAAAAATCTGCTCAATTATTTATCGGTACGAAAGTATCTATCACTTTCAAAGGCTTTTCTTGTTGGGAAAATTTCTGTGATTGACTTGAACTCACCTTATTTTTATTCCTCCTTGACAGAAATGGTACTGGCTATTTTTACAATTGCTGAATTATGTACAACTGCTACAAAACTAAATCTAGCCAATATTTTTGCCCCCATTAGTGATTAGTGCCCCGATTGCGCTAAATATTTTCATCTGTAATGCGACTGAACGACAAACAAACTTCAGCCGTTTTGACAAATCCGTATGGAGACATTACAAATTAGCGCAATCGGGGCCAAGGAGTGGCATTCTCCATCCATCTAACAGCTGAATCTCTTCCAGCTGCGAGAACCGCACATACGGCTACTATGCCGACGTGGACAACGAGTGCCAGCTGTTCCACGTATGCTTGCCCTCGCAGACGCCCAGTGGACGCAACGTGACTTACAAGTGGAGCTTCATATGCCCTGCCGAGACTGTGTTCAACCAGGTACGATTTGCAGTAGCAATTGGTTCACTTTTAAGATAATATCCTATCATACTTCATATCCTTTTTTAATCGTCTGGAAAATTCATAAAATTATTTTACTCATTCGATGTAGAGATCATTGGGGGAGGCCTATGTCCAGCAGTGGACGTCCTGTGGCTGAAATGATGATGATGATATTTCCCATTAGCCGGTGGGAGCAGCCCAGAGAGAAGGGCAGGGTCTGACGGTGCCCTTAGAAAGCATTGCCTACATTCACCACCTATCTTTCTTATCCTAGTATTTACAAATGTCAAAGTTGCTAAGGATAGATGGATGCATGTTTGAAAACAAAACCTATAAGTGAAACCAAACCAGGGGATTTCCATAATAAACTTAAATAACATTCAACTTATTTCATAACTTCAGGATATATTTCTGTTGTGAAATAGCATTTATTATAACTGATTAAAACGCTCTAGTGTTTACGTTGATGTGCCGCGCATGCTATCTGAATCGGTATCTAAATTCTAAACATATTATGTTCTATTCCAGGAAGTCCTAGTCTGCACCAGACCACGCGACGCCATCCCCTGCGAAGACTCCCCAATGTACTACGATATCAACATGGAGTTTGGTCGAGTCATTGACGACAAAAACGAAGAAGACCCTAAGAAAGAAACCACCAACATCCAACCTGTAAAAGTTAACAATAACAAGAAAACTCAAATAAAGAAACATCCGAACAGAAAACAGAACATTATCGTTGAAACTTTACTAAATGACGTCATAAATGAAAAGGTAGATAAGGAGTTAAATGAAATGGGTTACAAAGATGAAGATGAAATGGCGCCTGAAGAGATATTCCCCATTGTGGTCGATCCAGTCGATTCTGAACCTAAAATCGAAGAAGTTGGGGATGGAATTGAAATGAACACTGATGAGGAAAGCATTGCTGATGAAGGAAGACTAGCAGAAGAAAGAAGTATGATCTGGAGGGGGAGGAAGTTAGAACGAGGATTGTTTAGGTTTAAAGCTGATGTGTAAATAAGGTCTAGATTTTAAGTAAGTTCTGTAAATATGAGGTTAAGATGCAATAAATGATATGGCTTTTATGTAGTTTTTTTTATTTCTCTTCTCAAGTTAAACCAATTTTGCATTTTTTTTAAAATAAGCAGTATTATTAAGATGTAGGCAAGTCTGAGTATAAAACGTACTAGCTTGTGTCCTGCTAGATTCGAATCTGCAAGCATAACTTGTAGTCAGCTACACAAACCACCATGCTATTATTACAAGATGTATTATTATTATTATATTCCAAAATATAATAGGTTTTAAGGCTTTCTACCTTAAACAGATTTTTTGTGACGACAAATCAATAAAACCCTCAAAAGACAATACGTGACGTAATATTCTGAACATAAATTGAAATCAATTCGAGGAGCGAATTACATTTTGCCTTATCTCAGTAATTAATTTTACGCATTTTTGCATAATCAAATACTAAAATTGACTTTATTTTTTATTAGTTTGCGTACTGGAGAGACATGTTTATGAAAACATGACTTAATTTTGTTAAAATGTATTTATTTTTTTTGATATTTTTTACTTGTGGCAACATTGTTAATGCTGAAGACAGCAGTAGTGATGAAGGGAAATTCATAGATTTGTTGCCAGAAGAAGAAAAAGAGGCGTTTCTAGAGACAGTTGCTAGAAGGTTGATTACTGGAGTCAAAACTAAGGATTCAAGGTATAAATCTAGCGAAGAAGTTTCTGACGAAGAATTAAATCAACACAGCGAGTACGTTCGTAAGGTTCTAAAAGAGGAATCTGGTAATTTAAGACGACATACTAAAGATAAGACACCTGACGACTCATTAAAAGTACAGGGTATCGATAAAAAAAATAAACCGATCGTGGTTGAAGATGATGAGGACAAAAATCACATTGATTTAACTTTGAGACAGGGTATTAGAAGAAAGAGGAATGAAAAGGAAGAGTTTATACCTGTTCAAACTGTATACGATGATCCTGACAAATCTGATTTAAATACAACAAGTAATAGAGATGATTATACCAAATCAAAGGAACGCAAAGATGAAAATTCGGCTGCTGAAGATATACAAGTTCGAGGACATAGGCCCCATTCGAGGGGATCAAGGCAAGCTATAACTGAAGATCCTAATATAGAATATTCTGACAAAAGAACTGAAATCGTTGATTTTGAACCTTCAAACGAATACGTCATCACACCCAGTGATAGCGACGAAAAAGTGACTACTGATGACATTGACACTAAAGAACCAGAAACAACTACAGTTGAAGGTGTGGTTATTAGTTCTGAAACCACGGATGACGTAAGATCAGGTCATGATGGCTTTACTCAATCAATTTACGAGTCAATAGAGGCAGCGAATGATAGAGAAACAAATTCATCAAACGAATCAGTTGAGTCTGTTACTAATAGCACTAGCACCGAACCAATAGTAGAAATAACAACAACTGAAGAATCACTTGTAGAGAATGTAACAATGACCACTGAAAATATTGTTATAGAATCATCGACTATAAAAGATATACCGCAAAATACATCCGAGGTGAAAAAATATTTACGAGTCAATAATGATAATGGTGACCAAGAAGACGTATTGTCACTAAATGAAACAGAAAAAAATGATAACAGTAGTGTGATTGAAAATACACAATATGAATCAACAACACTTACAGACGAAGAAGTGAAAGACACTACAATGAAGGAACAAGATTCAGATAATGTAAATAATGAAGAAAAACTTTCAATTGAGAATAAAAGCAATGAAACAGATCAAACAAAAGTGATTAATACTGCAAGTAATGAAGATGATTTTCGTAAAGTAAATAGCAGTGCTGAAAATGATGAAACTAGGGATGATTCGTCTACAACGCCTGTTTCTATAAAAGTAGACATTGAAGGCTATTCAATGAAAGGTCATAGTGCAAATAAAGATAAAGAAACACATTCACTACAAAGACAAAGTAACAATGACAAAAAAGAAATACTTCGTGAAAATAACAAAACAGAACTGTTAATTGACAATAAGCCCGTTACAAAAAAATTAAATAGCTCCTTCAATTCAAGCAACTATTCAATCTTGAGAAGTCATGTAGAAAATAAAGAATATGAAAACCATTTAACTAGTCCAAAACCTACACATTTTGATAAACAAATAAAAATCGATTTATACCAAAACAGACATGAAAATGCATCCAAAACTAACTTAGAAAATAATAACCGAAATAGTGTTTTGACAACTACAGAGAAAAGTTACGAAAACAACGTTGCAACGCCAAATTATAAAGCATATTATGCACAAGGTAGTGGAAATTACTTATCAAGAAGTAGCAATAAACAGAATGATAAAAAAACTAATAAATTGGCTGCTAGAAGTAGCAACGGTGATAATGAAAACGATGTAAAGTTAGAGTATGAAACTCAAGATGCTAATTTGGCAAGAATAGCAAAAAGTTTAAGACAAGGCTTAGCAAATACTGATGGTGAAGATCTAGAAGAAAGGAAGCCAAAACTGTTAAATCCGAATGCAAAAACTAAGGAGTACCTAGTATATGAAATACGTAAGTATTTGATTATGTTTAGCACTGGGCACTTTGCTATGTGGTACCAATAGGATAGGACTACTGTCACTCGTCCCAAGATGTCTTAAGAGGTGACTTTAGGGACAAATGTGTGATGCCCGTTTTCACCATGAATCCCTAATTTTTGAGTGAACCCTATGAAAATAAAATTCCTGTTATGTGTTACCATAGGGGGTCACCTAAAATTAGGGATTAATGGAGAAAACCGGCTTGAGCACCAGGCCTCGTGATTTACGCACGTATTCACAAAAGATGCTTAAGTGAAGCAGCAAATCGAACGCACACAATTGGTTCGTGTGTCACCCTGTGCGTCCACGCGCACTGTAAGACCTCATAGTAATGTTTGGGTAAGAGACAAATTCCCATCAGAACGGTATAGGCCAAATCATCCATTTGCATCTAGTAAACTGGTAAAGGAAAGGTCGTGCTCCTGCAGTAGACTCAATGGCCTAATGATGATGATTTTTTCTAATTATTTTGATTGACAGCTAATAAGATACTAAGATATTTCAATAAATAAGTTATCAAGATAAGGCACCAATTTATAATTGAGACAATTTCTTTTCAGCTGCTGATGCTGATGATCCATTTGTGCAAACTGGCCCAGAACCCAAAGAACAACCTTACTATGTCCCAGTATACAATTATTCACCCAACAACGCTTACTATAACGCTTACAATCGCTTGGGACCCAACGAAGATGATAACGATGAAGCAGAAATACTAGAAAACGTTGATGAGAGTGACGATAGTAGTGTTGATAGAAATGAAGACGATTTTAGAGAACCAGATGGCCATAGAAAGTTCAAATTTAACAACAAGAAGAACCAGATTAGAGCAATACCAAAAGCAAACAACTACAAGTTACCATTAGTATTCAAGAGGCCTCAATTCACAGAAATATTCTTCAATCCAGATGAATATTTGGACATGGATTATTATTTTGGCAGATCGAATATAGATCCCGAATTCCGTTCGAGGGGAAAGCGAAAGAAGCATAAAAAAGAGATGACAAAATCTGAAGAAGAATTAAATCCTTATCATACTATGCTAAAAGGTGCTAAAACTCATTTAGATGCTGTTAGGAAGATATTGTATAAAAATAAACTTTTTGGATTCGTTCCCGATGTAACCTCACCGAAACCTAAAAAATCAAAAAAGGGTACCACTACTCCAAAAGATGGTAATCACAATCATAATCATAACCATGATCATGATAACAATGATGATTATGATAACAATGACGATCACAATCATGATGATAGGTACGGGAACGATCACAGTCATGATGTGAGGACTTTCCGAGCTGATAATACGTCTGACTACATAATACTTTATCCATCCACACGCCTAAGGAACGACCATCCGGATCAACAGGACATTTCTGTAGACTACTATTTTGGACTCTATAATACTGGTGATTCTTCTGGCAGCAAAACATACAGAGATATTTTAAGAGAAAGTAAAAACACAGAAGAATCAATAGAAAGCGCAGAAGCAGAAAAAACAAGAGAAAGAGTGCGAGCTTTTAAAGAAGTAAATAAACAAAACAATACTGCGCTTTCGGACTTGATAGGCGAAATCAAACGGCGAGGCTGGAAGCAGGCTTTCAGAATGACTAGCAAGAAGAAAAGACAGAAAGAATTAGAGGAAAAAAAGAAGAAATGGAAGAAAAACGCTGGAACCATCAAAGAAATATTAAACATGGGAGATATTAATGAAGCCTTCCCAAATTTGGATAAATTGAGAAAACTGAATCTGACGTTGATGAGAAGGAAAGAAAATAAAGAAGAAGTAGACGTGTATGTTAATGTGTTGAGAGATATGATAAGAATGGGCAATAAGGCTTTGGAAAAATACGACTGGTTAGGCTCCACAGTGGATATACTTGGTGCATTGAATAAATTGAAGTATCTTACGTAAGTAGCACTTCGGTTTATGAAACTAATTTCATAGCTTAAAAAATATTGACGCTGGTGGGAATAGAATCCACTACTTTACTTGCCACGCTACTGCTTTAATCTCTGAGCTAAGGAGACATATGGTAAACAATAGTAGATTTTACAAGTTTTAATTTTGTTTGAGATAAGTTTAACATCTTAATAATGGATTTATCTTACCCAACTGCCCGAGGTGTATTTATACATAATGAATTTAGTTACCACCTCTGTGGTCTAGTGGTAGGGCCACCTGCTTCAGACCCACAAAGAACTCGGGTTCAATTCCCAGTGGGGGCAAAATTTTCTGCTCAGTTTGGTTGATGATAGGGCTTGTTCTATATTAGGCCGCCACTAATCATATCTGGTAGTTTTTTGTAGCATCAGATTAAAGTTTATTTAACTACACCCTACCCTTATGTTTTAGAGAATCACAGGAAAATCGGGAATACATTCACGCAGCGGACAAAGAACTCTTAAATTACGTCCAGTATCTGTATAAAATTTCCAAATCTACTTTAGAAGAAGCTGCACTACGAATTCTTACTTCTAACGACTCCAGTAACTACACACAGAAGAATAAAGAGAAAAAACTTCTGCTTCCAAGAAATAAGAAGAGAAAGAAAGAGTATTTGTCCAAAATGTTGTTGAATAGAGTTTGGTTGTACAGAGATAGGAATATAACGCAGAGTGAAAAGAAAGTCAAAGAGTTGGACTTCTTAACGTTTTTAGACGATGTGAATAATAATTTGTATGATGTAAGTAATTTTAAATAACTAATACATGTTTATCAGAGTTTTTCAACGACTAGTGCGGTAAAAGTGAAAGAAACAAGAGTCAAAGAGGCTCCTCAAAATGTAGAAACTTAGTTGTACACAACTCAGACTCCCTACTCAGACTTTGTGTATCCACTTGCTTCTATTTGGCACCATACATTAACTCAAATTCAACTTGTCAAAGTTCTTTTAATTGTTCGAAGCGTCCAATTTTGTTTTTGAAGCTCGTACGTACTCGTAGGTAGCTCTATTGGGCCCTACTTGGGGACCATTCTTTCCCAACGATAATATCTGTACTTTGAAATAATCCAGAAATTAACCAAAATACTGCCACATCTTATTTTTTTCAGCTCCACAAAGCACTGAAGTACACAGCCATGGTTACAAACTACAAATACCAAATGTGGTTTTCCAATTTAAAGTCACTTTACTTGAAGAAACTAACTCAAAAAGAACTGCTAGAATTACTTCTGCACATCTTTACATCTAGACTTCTAGCACTGATAGAAGAAAGCGCTGTAGATGGTTTAGAAGATGGATACTTGCATTACGTAGAAAAGAAAGAGAAAGAAGTTGAAAGATCTAAAGAAGCATTCGTTTTTGTATTGAATTTGCTGAAAGAAATAAAAGATTCTAAAAATTGAAACAAAGACACACTTTCAACAAACTTTAATAAAATAGATTTACAATTTGCTGTTAACAATAAATTACGAAAAGTAGATAGAAATAAAGATAATGTTTGTTTTGGTTTCATGTATCGTTAAATTTAGTAATGTGATGAATAGTCATTCTATCAAAAATACACAATGGACAATGGGGTATCCATTTTTAGCGCTTATTACATCGTTGGCGCCATTTTTAATGTTTATAGCACACTAATTAATTTCTTATCCATATTATGTTTGATTTCAACTACATTATTATAAGTAAAAGCCTCGAAAATAATCGCAAAGACAATTTTTGCGAGAATAAAGTTCAAAATAATCTTACACATCAAGTGTACTGTGTACTTTTTCAACATTTATTATTCTACAACCTTGCTTTGAAAAACAACCGAAATAATATACATTTTGGAACGCCATTACATGAGTAGAGTTAAGTATTTGATTTAATTAAATCTTTGTATTTTAGGCCCAACAGAAGAACTTCTACATGACAGTTTTTTTGAATTTAATACCTAACAATCAAATTAAAACAAACCGTCTTGAAAGTTTTACAAAATAAAAGTTATATTAGAAAAATCTCTCTATCCTCCATTTTGTTTCTTGTAAACGTGTGTATAAAATGGCGTCACAGATTTCAAAAACAAACTAAATTTTATAAAGTAACGGAATGTGCAGTTTATTTTATAACTAATATATTTTATGTACATTATTACTTAAACTATTGAAGCTTTGGCTACAAAAATACAACTAGTAACACATTTATTATAATAATTATTGGTTTTTTATTTCTTTTGTGTAATACTTAAAATGACTAACATAATTATGGGTTGAAATGTCAAACTCAAGTATATTCTATCCGGTGAGAGTAATTCATGAAATACATTTTGAAAAATCCTTCCAAGGATGTCTTAATTAAGGGACTAAGGGACATTTTTTTTATCCACAACGAGGAAGCTCTTGGCCTGTATCTCACCTGATGGTAAGTGACGATCAGGCCGAAGGTGGAAGCGAGCTTCGCCCGGAATCCTCAACCACGGAGGAACTGGCTATCTCACCTCTAAGTGCCGGAACACAACAATGCTGTTAACATTGTTTTAAGGCGACAGACTTAGGTAAGGACAAATATGCGACCATCAGGCCTCCCCAACCCGTCTGGCCAGCGTGGGGAGTGTAGGCCAAATACTCCATTTGCCTCTGGTAAATTATAAAGGATCTTGCAATAGCAAGAGCAGTGGAGACTAATAATTAACCTACATAATGTTGATGCTGATACTAAAGACCTGGTACGTTGATGTTTGACATTTCATCCCAGCTCTGGTGATCACTGGTGCTTCATGCTTCCGTTTCCAAGTCTGCTTCAATTTCTTCCGGCGTTCTGAGGTCAATCGCGAAGCGCTTCTTTAAGTTGGGCGGCCTCTCATCTAGTTCTGGAAAATAAGGAGAATTTTCGTCAGTTCAACACTTCTTTATTATCATAATAATAAGTTGGATACTACAGTCTGCCGATGGTTCGTTCGTTCGTTCGTTCGTTTTAGCCGAAAGACGTCCACTGCTGGACAAAGGCCTCCCCCAAGGACTTCCACAAAGACCGGTCCTGCGCCGCTCGCATCCAGGCACCTCCCGCAACCTTCACCAGATCGTCGGTCCACCTAGTGGGAGGCCTGCCCACGCTACGTCTTCCGGCTCGTGGTCGCCACTCAAGAACTTTCCTGCCCCAGCGGCCATCAGCTCTTCTAGCTATGTGCCCCGCCCACTGCCGGTGGAAGCGTGAATTTATTTAACCGAGCAATCTGAAGCAGTAGACGTCCTGTGGCTGAAATACTTATGACGATATCAAATTGATTTGAATCCACAATAGCCGAACGGTGAAGGGGTCGGACTGGCCGACTCGAGATCCGAGGAACGTGGGTTCGAATCCCACCACCGCTCGACTATTGTAGTGAGCCCACTCGTAACACGAGCTTATTTAGCTTATCACGAGGGGCTAACGGGATTTGTGCATACAAATTACTAGTACCTAATCTTAAAAAAAACAGTACAATAGGAAGCTATGCTTACCTGGCGTAGTTTGTGCCTCTTTAACTCTCCTTGAATAATCTTGGAAGGCTGCTGCCAAGGAGTATGTGAGCCTTCTCGCTGCATTTCTGAAAATGAAAAAAATCTTTATTATTAAAGAAACAAAGATTTTTTTAAATTGTAGTAGAATCTAGCAGGTGATTTAGAAGTCAAAACTAAATGACACTCAAGACCTGAGACTTGGAGATAGAGAAAAATGGTAGAGATAGGGGACCCTAAAGAGGGTATGGTTTAGGAAGAAAAAATACTTCGATGTGTGAATATCATGCACATATCAGGTCTCTCCAACCCATCAGGCCAGTTGTAGAAATTGTGGATGAAGCTCTAGTAGATTAGAGTAGGGATGTTATAGAAATGTAGTTTCGGTTATGGATACGGTTACGGATATAGGAATAATATTATATCGGTTTCGGTTACGGTTACGGGTATTTTTTTATTTCGGATATCCGAAAGTTTCGGTAACGGTTACGGATATCTGTGCATTAGAATGCAATTTGCAATAGTTGTCCGACGCGGTTCATTCATGGCCGCACACTTTACATCGAATAAAAAAATGAAAATTGATTCTAGATGGCATTATAAAGGTAAATCAGGCTGTTATTCCTTTACATATAATGCTATAAAAACAATTTAAACTGCCTACATCCGAAACTATCAGAAACTTTTGAATCGGTTACGGTTACGGTTTCGGATATTTTTTTATTTCGGATATCCGAAAGTTTCGGTTACGGATATCCATAACATCCCTGAATTAGAGATAGTCATGCTCTTACAGTGGAGATTAAATAACCCGATGATGAATAGCATATTCGTATTTGGATTCTGAAGTTAGTAGTTTAGATCTATTTATCTCAGAACTTTGCTCGTCTTCATTCGTTTCAACCAAATTATTTCTACTGCTAGACAAAGGCCTCCCCAAGGATTTTCAGGACTGTTTCTTCGCTGCCCTTATCCAAATGCTTCCCAAGACATAGTTAGGTGATAGTTATCATTATATCAAGCTTATCCACCTAAAAGCAGTTCAAGTGTTCAACACACATGACTACAATGGCCAACGTGTTGAACATACTCTAAATTTATCGTCGATAAGCTATGGGCGTAATCCAAAGGTTTGATAACAAGTGGGAAAGAAGCATAGAAGAATACTGATGATGTTTGGTTTCTGTTTTTTTACCAGCTATCCAAGAGACTGTAGTCCATTCCAATCAGTTTTCTAAAACTACTAGTCTAGCTCGCAGCAATGAAGGAAGATATTAAGAATAATAACAATGATTTATATGTTTTTTAATAAAGAAGATAATAAGAATGATTTATATGTTTTTTAATAAAACTAGTTCCATTTCACTATGCATTTTAAAGCCTTAATTTTGCTCGATGTAACCCTACGTAATATAACATTTTAACCTCTGGCTGGACCTAATGATTTAGTTTTGTGGAGTAATTTTAAAAACATTTTATCATTACTGTTCCTTTGAGCCGAATTAACCCTTTAACTGGCTGGCTTGGGTTTGAAATTTATCTTAATTCACTAAAGCTAAAGTTCAAAACTTGGTGGCATCAATTCTGCCACTACTAAGTAAAGGCTTAAAATAGTAAGAACTTGAAAAGCGGAACTACTTTGATATAGGTACCACTAATAATAATATTTTCATTGCAACAATACAATTTATTATTAAGCTGCTTCTATGCTATTTCCGTATCTATATCGTATCAATCTCCAAGATCTCAATTTCAAAACTCCGTTTACATGACCTGAAACCTTATCTATGTGGTGCGTGAGAAACTTTAAATTCTTACGAATTATATGAAAACAACTACTAACAATAGATAGTTAAGATTACGTTACAATTTAGTGAATCTACACTATTGTGTGGTATTTGTATAGCATAATAAACACGTAAGTTGACAATGTTAGTTCATAGCGATAATTTTTATCGTGGTTACGTCTGTGTGTTTAAATTCTCTATTAATATGTAGAATTTTTCAGGGCTCATACAAAAGTATAAATAACAAAATTTTTTTCCCGGTACGTCCACCCACAAGGTGGACCGACGACATCGTAAAGGGTAGCAAGGAAGCGCTGGACGCAGGCCGCTACGACCCGGTCATTATAGAAATCATTTAGAGAGGCCTATGTTCAGCAGTGGACGCTCTACGGCTGAAATGATATTGATACAATCTATATATATAAAAGAAAGTCGTGTTAGTTACTTCGCTTATAACTCAAGAACGGCTGAACCGATTTAGCTGAAAATTGTCAGGGAGGTAGTTTAGAGCCAGGAGAAGGACATAGGATACTTTTTATCCCGTTCGAAATTAAAAAAAAAGTCTGCTTATTTATTGCCATTAAGGCGGAACAAAGTTCGCCGGGTCAGCTAGTAAATAAATAAAACTACCCACCTCGACTCACAAACGAAGGCATGACACTCAAAAGGATTCAAGCCTTTAGCGTCCACATTGTCTTTCACTATGATCATTGAGAAGACCCTTGTATACACCAGGTCCTGGACCCCATAGGATATGGACTCGATGTTGAAGAATACGGACATGTGGTCGAACTCGTCTTTCTTCGTGGTGTGGTTGATGGTCTCTAGATGGACGCCGTCGACTGTGATGGTCAGCTTTACGATGGGGAGGATTTGACCTGGAAAATAAGAGGTATAAGTTAATGGCCGTTGGGGCAGTAAAGTTATTGAGTGGCGACCACGGCCCGGAAGACTTAGGTGGACCGACGATCTGGTGAAGGTCGCGGGAAGAGCCTGGATGCGGGCAATGCAAGACCGGTGGTTATGGAAATCCTTGGAGGAGGCTTTTGTCCAGCAGTGGATGTCATTTGGCTGAAACGAACGCTTGGTGGTTGGAAAAGTAGAATTAGATCACTCCTACTCTCTCCGTGTATGTCGTAACTTATAGGCGACTAATGTCTAAGGGACAATAACATCAGGCCTCCCCAAACCCTGGGGAGTGTAGGCCAATTCCTCCGTTTGCCTCTGGTAAATAAGAAAGATTCGTGCATCTGCTGTGGAGTCCAAATGATTATGATAAAACCTATTAACTACAAAAGACATGAGTTTACTATCAAATCCCACTTATCTTACAGTAGTGGCGTCAAAAACAACGACACGATAGAAGAAGACAATATTTAAAGGTTTTCAAGAGAAGGATAATGGTTGTTACCTGGAGGTAGAGCCTTCGCAGCTGCCACCATAAGGTCGACTGGTTTCCTCGTGTGTTTGATGCCCCATAGCCCTCGAGCGTCGCTCTGCCCCAAATACTTGACCTGGAAGACCAAGAAAAATGAATTTATTATAGCTAGAATACACTTTATTTGTACACCACACAAGACGAGAAAAGAAAAAAGAAAGAATTCAAAAGATACACAAAAAAATTCTAAAACTCATTTATTTTTGCAAATGGGCTTTTAAAAAGCACTTTTATACGTCCCAGTATTAACCCTACCACTGCTTCTTGACAATAAATGGGCCAGTGCTGAAAAGAAGCAGCGCAAGACATTCAGTCACTATTGGTAGCATCCTTTTCAAGGGTTTGCAGTCTTTAAAAATACACAGCACAATTTAGGCGTTAAAGTGACCTTTTCCAGACATCCTACACTGTAGAGGACAGTTGTACTTTAGTTGTACTATTAGGTTATGTGTAGTTTCTGTAGAGAGAATAGGATTATTCCTTATTCTTCTCGTGGATGTCGTAAGAAGTGTTCGTTTAATTCAGCCAAATGACGTCCACTGCTGGACAAAGGCCTCCCCCAAGGATTTCCACAATGACCTTACTTTATAGCCTGCGCCGCCCGCATCCAGGTACTTAGTTTCCAACTCACTAGGTACCTGGATGCATAAGAAGTGACTAAGGGACAAATATGGCAACATCAGGCCTCCCCAACCCGTCTGGCCAGCATGGGGAGTGTAGGACAAATCCTCCATTTGCTTGTAAATTATAACCAAAAACATCCATTTGCTTGTAAATTAGAGAGGGTCGTACTCCTGCAGTGGAGACTAAATGACCTGATGATGATGAAGTATTCTATGCTAATTCATCAAAAAATATATCTATAGTATAGAAAGTAGCGTAGCTTCGTTCGTTCGTTTCAGCCAAATGATGCTGCTGGACCAAGGCCTACCCCAAGGTTTTTCACAGTGAACGGTCCTGCGCTGCCCGCATCCAGGCTCTTCCCGCGACCTTTACCAGATCGTCGGTCCACCTAGTAGGAGGCCTGCCCATGTTACGTCTTCCAGCCCGTGGTCGCCACTCGACTTAGTGTAAGTACCTAATACCTATTACAAAACAGTATGGTGTGTTATGTGGTAATGACTCATCATTATGATTAATTATCAATCATGCCACTTTCTTCGCCATATCTTTGGCGCAGTTTTAGCGTGACTATGTTTTGCGATGTGTTTGGATAACAGAGCACGTGTTGGTTTATGGTGTAATGAGTGTGAATATTATTAACTAGGTTACCATACTTTGCCTGCTGCCTTAGCTATATCGTTTCATCCACGAAGACGCGCCCCACCATTCTTCCGCTAATGTTTGAGTGTTATCGGTACACGCTAAATTATCCATGAGTGCACACGCACACAATAATGACGCTCGGATTGCTCGGATCAAACGCCGCACTTCGCGCTTCGCTCGTAAAAATTGGTGTGGCGCGTCTTCGTGGATGAAACTATCTACATTATCTGGCATTTCTCACCCTGTCTGGCTTGTATTCCCAAAATAAAAAAATAAATTTCTTGCTTTAGAGCTTTGTAAATATACCTACCTACATAAGGAAATAATTGTTCAGGGACATGGCACAGCCTTTGTTCAAGAAAAGGTCTCTACAACGCTGATTTTCAGTCATGCCCAATTCTCTTGAGGTGCTAAACGAGAATGACCATATCCTCCTCCTCTATAATCGATAAAAATCCTCCATTTGCCTCTGGTAAATCGTCGTGCTCCTATTCACTACTATATTTGATGGACACTAAACTATGGTTGCTATGTAATATTCAGAATAATCAAGATAAAACCTTAGAAATAGATCCTAATCACTCAGTTCTGACACCACAATGCGTCGCGTCACTTCCGCTCCAATGCGGCCTCGGTACACTTTTATTGTGCGCGGGCGCATCGCAAATTGCCATGAATTTAAATCAGTAACAGAACTATATGTAGTTTTGAAAATGAGGTACATTGTTGAGGTCGTTCCCACGGCAATCCAGCTCCGGTATCCAGCAACGCAGGGGATCCTGCAAAACTGGGGGCGTAGTGTGAGTTTACGATACAAAAGCATTCGATAGATAATTCTAGTTCTTGAAAGTTTCCGCTAGGGGCACTGTACAATCCATCATACATTTAATGTCACATTTTTACGCAGTCGATATCGAATGATTTTGAAGTAAACTCACACTACGCCTCCTGTGTGCTTACCATGAGTTTACGTTAGGTGTGCTCGCTAGCGAATACGTCAAAAAAAAAACTATGAAGATTTTATTTCTTGAAAGTAGCCGCTAGGGGCTCTGCACAATATGTCATACATTTAAAGTCATTTTTTTACGCAGTCTCTAGCGAGCACACCTAACATAAACTCATGGTAAGCATACTGAACTGTCGAGAGAAAACACGTGTGTTTGAGATTCGATTTACAAATTCGAATGGATCAGTTTATTGCGGGACTCTGCTACCGTTCGTGTAAACGTTAAGCACGTATACCACTAAACGGAACCCTGTTAAACAATGTTTTTACAGGATCAGGTTCGAAACAGCGTCGTTCGCGAATGGATCATTCAAGTCCATAAGCTTTCGAAGCTATGAGGCAGTGGAAAAAACATTCGCAACAGCGTTCGTCGCTGCAACGACTTTTGAATGTTTTCGAACCTACGTAGGGGACCTCCGAAAACATTGGCCTATTGACGTTTCTAAAATTGTGCTACATTGATACAGGTAACGGGACTATTCTCAACGTTCCCACCGCTGCAACTCCTGTGTAGCCAGGATTTACCGCTTGACCGCCAATAAAACCTAACCAGTGAGTGTGAGTGATGTGGCGACACTGATACAGATCTCTCACAGAGGATGAGCTGTTGCAACACAATCTGATACGTGCGTGAGCGCAGGACGCGTTTCTAATCGTGCATTCGGCAATTAGCGTAATCTGCGCCAATAAAAACTGGCAGTTTTCTACCAAATATGCTGAATAACATTGACAGAGATAACTAGCTGTTCTTGGTAACTAATTGGTAGAATGCATCAACCATTTTACATAGGTCAAATAAATTGACATTGTACGAGTGAGTCATTTGGTTAGAAAATATAACAAACTAGCTGACCCGGCGAACTTTGTTCCGCCTTAATGGCAATAAATAACGGGATAAAAAGTCCTATGTCCTTCTCCTGGCTCTAAACTACCTCCCTGACAATTTTCAGCTAAATCGGTTCAGCCGCTTGAAGATGTCAGCTGATTGAACCCTCTTAGATGATGGATTGATGGAATAAAATATAACTTTCAGACTATTAAACTAATACTATTCATTTTAAAGTACTTTAATTAAAAAAGGTTTTGTGGGGCTGGGGCCTTTAAAATTGTTAAGAAAAAGGTATTAATCTAGGTATATTGAATAATCACGAAATCTCAGAAACTGTAACACCTACAAACTTGACATTTTTCAGGTAGGTTTCTTATACATAGAGTGTAAATATCTGCTAAGAACGGATTTTACGAAACCTAAGGGGGTAAAACGGGGTCCACGCGTACGAAGTCGCGGGCGGCCGCTAGTAATTTTATACGAGTACAGGACTGATTTTCCTGAATTTAAGTACCTAACATTAATTTTCCCATTCACGCTGTGATTGGGTAGTATGAATGACTCACTACAATGTGGATGACTTTCCAAACAATAAAATGACATACAATAGCGAATCGAAAGTGACCGTGAGTCCCATACAAATAATACAAAGGATGGACATTGGGGATTATTATTTGGGCTTTCCAAATAATTTTCAGAAATAATTTAGACGACAAATGTGTCGGTGTCGGACTGCTACTTCGAGGGTCGGTAGTTCGACCAAAAATTCAAATCAAATCAAAATATTTATTTAGCAATTAGGCACTTGTACACGTCCCAAATATAGCTTGCCCTACCACCTTTGTAAAAGTGCTTTTTTAAAGCCTACTTACAGAAATAAATGAGTTTTTTTACTGAGTTTTACCACTTCGGGACAACATATGGGCTGGTGCTGAGAAGAAGTGGCGGAAGAAACTCAGTCACCTTTATCCGACCGACTCCTAACATAAGCAATATTATAGTCCAAGTTTATGCTAAAATATTGTAAAGTTTCTTCAGAATCAGCTTAGTTTTAGTATGAACGAGTTACTCACCTGGAAGGCTATAGGCAGATCATCAACCGTGACAGGTCCTTCGTTTTCAGCCATTTTCTTCAGTAAATATGTCACATAACTTATTTAATACGTGCGAAGTCTCATCTGGCAGCGTTTTGAGTTCATATTCTGGAAATAACAGAAAAATACTGTAAATAAATGAATATAAACTGATAAGTTAATCATGTGGGACACAAACAGAAATATGATGACGTCCACTGCTGGACAAAGGCCTCTCCCAAGGATTTCCTTAACGACCGGTCCTGTGCTGCCCACATCCAGGCTCTTCCCGCGTTCTTTACCAGATCATCGGTCCACCTAGTGGTGGGCCATACTACGTCTTCCGGCCCGTGGTCGCCACTCGAGAACTTTTCTGCTCCAACGGCCATCAGCTCTACGAGCTAATATGTGCCCTAGTCTGGGAGTGTATCTCTTGGCCTGTATCTCACCTGATGGTAAGTGACGATCAGGCCGAAGGTGGAAGCGAGCTTCACCCGGAATCCTCAACCACGGAGGAACTGGCTATCTTACCTCTAACTGCCGGAACACAACAATGCTGTTAACATTGTTGTTATGGCGACAGACTTAGGTAAGGACCAATATGCGACCATCAGGCCTCCCCAACCCGTCTGGCCAGCGTGGGGAGTGTAGGCCAAATCCTCCAGTTGCCTCTGGTAAATTAGAGAGGGTCGTTCTCCTGCAGTGGAGACTAAATGACCTGATGATGATAAGATCTGGCTTGCGATGAAAAGATATGACCTAGTTATTTAAAGTTTTGTTAACTCAACCCAAGCGGGGAGAGGAAATACTGGACCGCAAAAAAAGTGTTGTAAAATTGACCTAGCTTTATGAACAAAACTAGCGGCCGCCCGCGACTTCGTACGGGATCCCGTTTTATCCCCATAGGAGTGGAGTTTCGTAAAATCCTTTCTTAGCGGATGCCTACGTCATAACATCTACCTGCATGTCTTTCAGCCCGAACCGTCCAGTGGTTTGGGCTGTGCGTTGATAGATCAATATGTCAGTCAGTCACCTTTGAGATATATTTAGATACGCTGAAAAAGCGTAGTTTTCACATTATGTAGGTTGAGTTTCCTTCTCAATTTTAGTACTTTTTAACTGTTTCAAACAAGGACAAACCACAAGAAATACATTTAATTAGCAACTATCATTCAAGGTGATACAACTAATGTAAATTAATTACCTAACTATCTACATGTACACATCAAGTACAAATACATTGCAAAAACGCTCTTAACACCTGCGTCATAAGGGCCATGACAAATTGTTATACTACATGACGTGTTGTAGTATGTTCAGACTACAGGTAAGTAAATTCAAATTGTTTCACGAGACCGTGAATCACTGATAAGAAGTGATAAGGACACCTTGACTCAACGTTAGAGATGTGGGCTTATGTTTGAGACTAGTATGAAAGTCGATTCATTCTGAGATCACGGGACTATTCCCACCTCTCGTTCCCACCGCTGCAACTCCTGTGTAGCCAGGATCTACAGCTTGACCGCCAATAACCCAACCAGTGAAGGTCAAGTTTGTCCCGGGAGAAAGTTAAACTGTCATTGGACCCGCAACGAAATTAATCAGAAGAACGTAGGAGTTAGAAGTTAAGGTTCGACTTCTCTCCAGTACAAAGCGGATGACAGGAGATAAAACAAAGGCATTTGGCTGAAACGAACGAAATGATAAAAATACAGTACCTAATAAATTGCAACAAAAAGCTTTATTAAAGCTTATTGAATAAAAGCTTTGTAATATTGTTCGAAGCATCGGAGCGTGACGCCACCCTACTAAATGTCAACTTATAGGGGTGTATAAATGACTTACTTCAAAGTTCATAAGCTTCGCACGGTGTCAGTGAACCGTAGAGCTTTTTTAATATTATACTAATTACGTTATATTGAGTCTATTAAAAAGTGTAATTGGTGATGTTAATTCGAGTGATTCTCGCATTTTGAAATGAAATTATTCAGTTAGTTGTTAATTGTTTAGATTGTAAAATATGTATTGTATAAATTACAGCGATATGTGCTGATCTGACAATAAAAATAGTGATGAATTTACTTATTGATTGATAGTAAAATACTAGCTTTTTGCTCATGGTTTTGTATGTTACATACATTTCGGTCTGTCACAGAAAGCCTAGGCGCAGATCGCCGACTATTAGTTGGCCGATAGTTGGGTCGGGCTGTTAATCAGTATGGAGATATGAAAGTGCGCACATTACAAAGATTTGGTATCGGCCGATTCTTCATACAAATTAGAATCGGGCCCAACTATCGGCCAACTAAAAGTCTGTGGTCTGCGCCTAGACAAAGATAAAGCATATTGTTATGTCAGTCAAGAAAAATATAGTTTTGTACTGGTAAAAGAATTTTCAAAATTATTTTAGTAATTCCTGAGACCGCTTCTTACTCGTACAATCAAATTCTAGCAACCGCCTCTGTGGTCTAGTGGTAAGACCACCTGCTTCAGACGCAGAAGTCCCGGGTTCGATTCCCAGTGGGGGCAGATTTTTCTGTTCGGTTTGGTTGGTGGTAGGGCTTGTTCTAAGTCCGCCTGGCTAGCTACCACCATCTTATCTAAGTCTGTCGCCATAACAACAATGTTAACAGCATTGTTGTGTTCCGGCAGTTAGAGGTAAGATAGCCAGTTCCTCCGTGGTTGAGGATTCCGGGTGAAGCTCGCTTCCACCTTCGGCCTGATCGTCACTTACCATCAGGTGAGATACAGGCCAAGAGCTTCCTCGTTGTGGATAAAAAAAAATAGTATAGATTTTACTGACTGAAGGTACCTACCTGAAAAAGTGTATTAAAGTTACTATCTATTGAAAGATTTTTTTTCTTAGTAGGTAGTACAGTTCTAATTATTACTGTAGTAGTACTACTTACTTTGGCTTCAAAATCGTTACAAATTAAGTCACCATCAAATGTAAAGCAGGTGTGTAAGGAAGTGGGGGGTGTCATGTGCTCTGACCGTTGAAATTTCGTGGCAGGTGCGTACACGCACAAAAACTGATTGTGCGCGTCCTTAGACAGATAGTGTTACCGTTTGGAATAAAACAACCCCATTTAGAAATTACTTTTACTCGTTCCAGTAAGCAGTGGTAGGGTTAATACTGGGACATGTAAAAGTGCTTTTTAAAAGCCTATTTGCAAAAATAAATGAGTTTTTTTTAAATGACTTCTATTTTGTTTCTGATAAATTAGAAAAGGGATCTTGCAGTGGAAACTGACGCCCGTATTCACAAACATTACTATGAGGTCTCATAGTGCGCGTGGACGCACAGGGTGACACACGAACCAATCACAGAGCTCTATTCAAAGCTGTGCGTTTGATTTGCTGCTTCACTTAGGCAAGCATCGTTTGTGAATACGGGCGTTAGTTGTACTAGGAATGTCTAATACCTGGAAAATCAAAAATGAGAATGATAATGATTACACCGGTCAACAAAAAACAATTTTTTTTTGCGCATGGATTTTACTTATTATATTCTGATTATATAAGCAAATTTATATAAAAAAGTGCGATTACAAATCGAAAATATTTGCTTTTTAAGAAGTTATAGCGATTTGAATTTTCCATCTTCATAGTAGAATGTCTCTAAAGATGCACGGCCCATTCTCATTGGGATATATTTATAAATAATTATGGGGGCTTATTCGCAAGAACAAGGGTCACGCTTTCATCAAAATATAGTGAGATTTGAGAGACGACGTTACTAAGGCCAGTATACTAAAAGCATGACAGGGTTAGATTTTTATGCGAAAAATCTTCTATGGAACATGACAGGAAATTAGAACTTTTCATTTTTAATAAATATTTGGACTCTATTTTAAATTTTCTCTTGTGAGAATTAATCTTAAATGGATGTTTGGAATGTTTTAATAATTAGAAAGAATGAAAGAAAGAAAGAAAAAAATATATTTGGCAACCAATTGAATCATCTCTATGTTCACGTTTCATACATTCATTGATATGATTTTTTCATTTTTTTACACACTAGCTGACCCGGCGAACTTTGTTCCGCCTTAATGGCAATAAATAAGCAGACGTTTTTTTTTCGAACGGGATAAAAAGTACTATGTCCTTCTCCTGGCTCTAAACTACCTCCCTGACAATTTTCAGCTAAATCGGTTCAGCCGTTCTTGAGTTATAAGTGGAGTAACTAACACGACTTTCTTTTATTATATAGATAAAAGCAAATTCAGAACAATTTTTTGTTGTTATTCTTATTTCTAGGTCATAAAGCAATAAAAATAAGCTATGCATAACCCGTGCGCAAAAATGCTGTAGACAGTTGTTATTTATATGTAATGTCCGGTGTCCCTTCTTTGCTCACCCCTTTTGAGAGATATCGAACTCGAGTCCATGTCTCTCCGAAGGGATGCGCGAAGCCACAACAAGGGCTCTCGCGGAAGACCAGTTTCTTGACATGCCCTTACGAGCATGTCAGGATAAATGCTGAGCGGGAGCCTATTGACACAGTGGCCCACTATTTTACTATATTCGTTTTGTGTTGTTATCTATATATATAAAAGAAAAGTCGTGTTAGTTACTTCGCTTATAATTTAAGAAGGGCTGAACCGATTTAGCTGAAAATTGTCAGGGAGGTAGTTTAGAGCCAGGAGAAGGACATAGGATACTTTTTATCCCGTTCGAAATTAAAAAAAAGTCTGCTTATTTATTGCCATTAAGGCGGAACAAAGTTCGCCGGGTCAGCTAGTTGTTTATAAGTTTTGGTTACTGTGTTCAATAAAGTCTATTTCTTCTTCTATTTATTCGTCATTATCATAGACAGAAATATTTGGAAATCGATTTAAGAACGAGACTCGTCTCCATAAAATCTATATCCAAACCGTTTTACAAAGAATGTCACGATTTTAAACCATTACTAACGTGAAGGCATTGTGATGGTACTATCACGACGTTACCAGGAATTTTCTGTCGATTTAAGATTAAAAGGCCCGTGTTATGGTAGGATATCAAGTCTGAGTCCGCTCTTAAGATAGTTTACAGTCGGAGGTATGTCAAAATGAAACTCGATTCATTTTTGAGCGTAGATTGAGGGTTTTCGTTGGTTTCAATTAGAGTCTAATTATTAGACCATATCAGGACCGAATCTATGACTGAATTAAAATCAGTTTAGAGTTTGTTTAACGGTTAAATAGTGAGTAACTAAATAAGTATTTATTTTCCCAACAAAGTAAGTACATATATCGGTTAAACCTACGGCTGTTTTTGTAACGTTTTGATTTTCAAATAAATTCGAAGCTAACAATATGATTTTCAGTGTAAATAGAGATTCTTTAGGCCTTAGAAATGAACTTCATATTCTACTTTATGTCGCAAAAATGCATCATAAAATGGATGAAATAGGATAAATAATTTTACAGCGAACTTATACAATTCCTAATGCATTTTTAAATAAAACTAACTCATCTCACGTTCCCTGAAGAAGTTGTAAGGTGAAAACCAAATAAGAAGCGTCTTTCTTCGATCATTTTTACAGACTGTATTTTTCACAAATTCACGCATTTATTTGTACGTAGATCTTGAATATGATGTTATGCTATGCTCTTGGTCACAATAATGACTCGCGTGATTAATGTAGATGCCACTTGTGCAAATACGTACATAAGTAAACGTATTAATAAGTACATCGCCTAGCAAAAACTGAAAACGATAAATCATTAAGATTCGTGTTAGCGAATGTTAAAATCACTAATCTGGTGATATTAATTTTTTTCTTTATAATTAGCGAATAGATGCTCATAATAAAAATAAAAATCTCATAAATCTCTTTTATTTTTGTACTTAAGTAGGGTTTTAAAAAGCGCTTTTACATGTCCCAATATTAACCCTACCACTGCTTCGGGACAATAAATGGGCCAGTGCTGAGAAGAAGCAGCGCAAGAAACTCGGTCATTATTGTCAGTACTTAAAATGTAGATATACAGTGATTTGTTTAATACTAACAAAGTTATTTTTGCTATAACCTTGCTGCTGAGATCTGTTATCCTTATCACTCATTAACAGATAAACAAAGATAGCTGTATCGTAAGTAAGGCGGGAGCTGTAGAGTATGGTTTGGAAAATTATGATAAAAGTTATGGCATTTTATACGTAGACAATAGGTTGACTTTGTTTTGTCACCTGTCATCCGCTTTGCACTGGAGGGAAGTCGAAGCTTAACTTCGAACTCCTATGTTCTTCTGATTAATTTCGTTGCGGGTCCAATGACAGTTTAACTTTCCCCCGGGACAAACTTGACCTTCACTGGTTGGGTTGATGGCAGTCAAGCTGTAGATCCTGGCTACACAGGAGTTGCAGTGGTGGGAACGAGAGGTGGGAATAGTACCGTAAGAGGTTGACAAGGTAGAATGAACTTCTTCCACTATTTTCAGTACCAGCTGATATATTGTCCCGAGGTGGGTAAGCAACTTATATGTATGTGGGACGTCCTGAAATGGACCTATGCACTATTAAATAATTTGATTTTAGGCCAGTTACTTGGGACTTAGTAAGTGACCCGGAAAGGGCCTATGTGGGAGAATATAACATAAATTTTACTTAAAAAACTTGTCATCAGAAACAACTGGTATTCCATACAAATTTCCTTGCTGAAAGTCTAATATTATCTACTACAAAATTCATCAAAGCTTCAGTGGTTTCATATTTTTTACAAAATTTTAATTAGTAACTAGATAGGTGTTACTTTTTCCTTAGTAATTAGTACTATTGAGTTTTGTTTTAATGTAACAATGCCCTAAGTGTAATGGGAAGACTCAAAAACTAATTTACGTGTCCCGTATGGGAATGGAACCCTGATACTCCATTCGAGAGTTCATCTTTAACCATTAAACCATAAAATCATCTATTTGTATTACCAATACCTAGCTAATAAAACTATAAAAATGGGTGGACATAGACAATCCTTCATTAATAAAAATAATACCTTATCAACTTATCACGACATTATCTTAACTGATATTTTTTATCGGATAATGTTTTGCACTTGTACGAATAATTTACTGAAATGTAGTCATTGGTTTTTAAAGAAATAATCCTACTAATATTATAAATGCGAAAGTTTGTGTGGATGCCTGGATGTCTGGATGTTTGTTACTCTTTCACGCAAAAAGTACGAACTTATTTTGTTGAAACTTTACAGTATTATTTACAGTTTATAACCCAGATTAACATATCCCAACTAATATTATAAATGCGAAAGTAACTCTGTCTGTCTGTCTGTCTGTCTGTCTGTCTGTCTGTCTGTTACGCTTTCCCGCTTAAACCTCGCAACCGATTTTGATGAAATTTGGCATAGAGATAGTTTGAGTCCCGGGAAAGAACATAGGATAGTTTTTATCCCGGTTTTTGAAACAGGGACGCGCGCGATAAAGTTTTTCTGTGACAGACAAAATTCCACGCGGGCGAAGCCGCGGGCGGAAAGCTAGTAGGCTATAATTTATGACGTTCGTAAAATATTTTTTTATGCGGGGTAGCCGTTGAACGCCATCTATCAACATCATTAGTAATTAAACGAGGTCCACGCGTACGAAGTCGCGGGCGGCCGCTAGTATTCTAATATTTTACAGCCGAAGAATTTGTTTGTTTAAATTCTTTGGCCTTAGAATCTTAGAAACTACTAGTCTGATTGAAAAAAACATCTTTGTGTTAGATAGCCCATTTATCGACGAAGGATTTAGGCTGTATAACATCACCCTACAGCCAATAGGGGCGGAGCAGTAAAGAAAAATGTTGCAAAAGCGGGAAATATTATTAAAACTATTTTCACGCGTACGAAGTCGCGGGCACAGCTGTGTGTTTTTCAAGTTAATTACATAAAGAAAAACAATTAAAAGAAGTAGTTACAACTATCTAATTAAACCATGATTAAAAAGATTCATTCGATCCATTTCCAAGAAGATCATTAATATAGAAATGGCTGTAAGAAAACTCTTCTAAGAGATAAGCTCGCCTGTTGTCTCTTATTCTTAATTTAGTCCAATTTTGTTGACATTTAAAGATAAGGGATTAAAAACCAAATCTTTTTTGGAGTTACCAGTCATGTTAAAATAGACTTCAATTTATGTTACATTGAAAAATAACATTGATTTAGTACACATAAATTACGAAAACTCATGAAACTCTACTATTTCAAATCATTAAAATATTTCTTTAGAAATTGAAGAAAACATGCATGTTGTTAAAAACAAAACAGTGCCTTCAAAAATTAACATAATTTAACGTCGCATTAAATTGTTTTATTGGGTTGGTGACGACACTTAAATTGTTCAAAATAGGCGCTACATTTTTGCATTTTTTCAGGTAACGACCACGTCATAAGTTCACAAAGTCTTAAAATAAATAACAATAAAAAGTACTCACACACAAAATAAAATAAGAAAATCCACACAATATTTCACAGTTCCAAAACAAATCACATAAAACGGAACGTTTTTAAAAAGTTTTTATACAAAATGGCGGACGCGTCTGGCGCGTACCGGCGCGCGATCGTGAATACGAAATTCAGTTTTTAAAATTGGAACGCAAATTGGCCAGTTATGGTAGGCCTGTGTGATCTCATACTTTTACTTGACGCTCACCCTTTTTTCTATAGAATAAGAGGGGAGGGGGAGTTCTAAGCTGAGTGGACATTGAAGAGTCCTTACCAAGGCTTTCTTTGAACCGGTTTAGGTAAAATGAACTCTGTTGAAAGAGTGTTAGAGCTATTTGGACTGAAACAATAAGGTTGTGGATTAGTCGCAGTGTTACGTGGAGAAGTGATAAGAAATACAGTGTGTTCACTTTCAGAATGAATCTACATATTCATTCTGAAAGTGAACACTCGCAACGCACAAGCGCTGGTAGGGTAAAAAGATTATGAGACATGTAGAGGCTCCTTAAGAGCAAAATGACTGAATTTGTAAGAACTATTTATTAGTCTAAACAAATAAAGAAATTTTGACTTTGACTTTATTTAGTAGAGTACTACGGCAACTGAAGGAAAAATCAAATTAAGATAACTAGTTTCTTTAAAATTGTAGAGTTTGGATCTTGATTAGGTCAAATTAAAATAGAGTTTTTAAACATTTTTTTAGTATTCTTACCAAAAACTGGATAGGTATTTTGAAATAATACTAGTTACTTACTCTACAGCCGTCTTAACTGGCCTCTAATACGTTATTTTCGTTCTGCAGATTTAGTCAGTGTAGTAAATGATATTTCAAGCAGATTTTCACACTCAATAGTTAAAAATGATGATTGATGCATGTTACTCGTACATTCGTTCGTTCGTTTCAACCAAATGACGTCCACTGCTGGACAAAGGCCTCCCCCAAGGTTTTCCACAATGAACTCGTACATTATGATAGCTCATTTACTTAAATTCTGTGAAGGTTTATCACTTTATAAACCTCAAGTGGTCATTTTGAGAGGAAAACAAGCAAAACCTCGGACAGACAGACATACGCACAGACATATCGAAACTATAAGGGTTCCTTGTCAGGACTACGGAACCCTAAAAAAGCATGAATGCAAAAACGTCAGCCTGGATTTTACTTTGCTTTAGTTCCTTTTTTTAAAATTCAAATTTCGAATTACGTTTGCTTCTTTTTTCAAAAATCAAAAAACATCAGCCTGTACACACCATGTGCATGTGTGCACCGCACCTGTTGCGTTGTGTGCGTGATCTCTTCACATTGTGTGACGGAGCTCGTGTGGAACATGGGGGAAGGTACTCTGCTTAGCCGACTGTTTTGAGAGGGGTTATGTTTTTGCTCTGAGGCGATTCTTGGGAGGCTTAAAGTACCTATAAAAATGGACGGCCATAGGCTGATGGTTTTTTCTATTATCGCTAATAACAATCCGCCGCTCCACTAATGTGGTGAGCCCACTCGTAACACAAGCTTATTTAGCTTAACACGAGGGACTAATGGGACTATTAGTAATTTGGGCAATACAAATTGCAAATAATCTTTTTTTTTTAATCTTAATTGTTTTGTAGGAGATACGAATTTAGGCGTACGAATTCTGAATAGTACTAAAAAAGCTGTCTGTAGGTGCCTTCACCTACAGAGTTTTCTAGTCCTATTCAAGACCGGCAAGTAAAAAAATACCCTTGCTTAAAAAAAGATTTTTATTAACTACTTAGGATTTACATTTACAACTATCCAGGGTTAGTTTAGAATCATTCAGTATTTTTACATGTTTTATTTTTAAGTGCATGGAATGATTTTTTAAATAGTACCAAAATGCCTACCTCGAAATGAAGCTAGCGCCCACTGTAATGATTACGTTTTCATACAAGAATAATAAATTAATTTAGTAGAGCACTATTCTCTGCGTACTTTCGCACCGGTAGAGTCTCCACGCATGGCGAGGTAACACATCACCCCTTTAACCGCCATGGTTCACGGGCTCTATGGTTCACTGGTTCATGCCCGGTGCGGGCTTGACGCATCTTCATGTATAACGTCACTTTGACGCTATGGTCAAACGATTGTGACAAGTGACAAAAATCGGAATTAATAACCCAGCCCCCCTAGACAAAACGCACTTTTTGATCAAATCGAAAATCGAATCCGTCAAAACTCCATACAAAAAAGGGGCTCTTCGACCACTTTTCGACTGGTTTGCGATTATAATTTGCACTTTGTCTAGACCCACAGTACTGACAGTAACGCCCTCCTGTAAATGTCATAATTAGAAGGTTGGACAACGTGGCAAAAATTGGAATTAAAATCTAGGATTAATAGCAGCGCCCTCCTATCAACGTCATAGCTGGGACGGTCATTCGATTCCAGGCTGTGCCATCGTTGTCACGGGCTCTATGGTTCTCTGGTTGGTGCCCGGTGCGGGCTTGACGCATCTTCATGTAGGTATAACGTTTATGGTCCAGGATTCGGTTCCTGGCTGTGTCGACTTTGTGACTTTCGGAAAGATATTTTTTTGATTTGCCTGGCCTGAGATAAACTTTTTTCGATTTTGTACAATAAGCCCATGCATTTGTAGTTTAAAATCCTATCCTATCCTACTTCCTACAATAATATTATAAATGCGAAAGTTTGGATGTCTGGATGTCTAGATGTTTGTTACTCTTTCACGCAAAAACGACTAAACGGATTTTAATGAAACTTTACAGTATTATTGTTTGTAACCCAGATTAACATAAATAGGCTATAATGTATGCCGATCTGTGACACTAAATTTCATGCGGGTGAAGCCGCGGGCAACAGCTAGTCATCCATAAAGTTTTAGCATGGCACGCATCCTGTCCAAGTATATGAAACTTATAGGATTCGTATGACTTAAGTCTACCTATGAAGTATGAAATCATTATTGGTTCATGGCCTTAAAAAAAACTGATTATGGTCAAGTTTTTTATCCATGCCATGTATAAGCCATTTTGACATTTTAACAAATCTACTCTCGTAATAAATTGAAACAGACTTCTAAACCTTCTTTTCGTTCTTTGTGGCTATGAATATTTAAACGCCTACAAGTACTTTTAAAGCCAAACCATGGTAATGTATATTTGCTCAAAACTTTTAGTAGGCGCTTACGCGTTCCGGAATCTTTAGTTATTTATAAAAAAAATAGAGCAACTGTGCAGGACTGTTTATTTATCCGGTTAAAAAACTGTACGGAACTGTCGGAGGCCAGATAACTGATGACTGGAGTGAATGAGCGGAGTGGGCTGTCGAATGCGGTGAACGGAGAGCGGTGGACTGTAGACTGTAGATGCTCCGCTGACGGTGTCTCCAATCGCTGCACTACTATACTATAATCGGTGGTGGATCGTTGCCACGTCTTCGTACCTCGTGGCTTCTATACTATGTGCGGTGTGACGCTATAAACGGTGAACACGGTGCGGTCGATGTCACACGCTGTAGGAGTCCGGTCTATACGGTATCCGAAGTCGCTATGCTATAACGGTGTCCGAGGTCTATGCTGTAGTCGTTGTACTATTCACTATGCGCTCTTGAGACTCTTGAGTAGACTTCGCTGTACTATCGGAGACTATTCTCTTCGGTTGCTTGTAGAAGACTATTCACTTCGATTGATTAGAGAAGACTATACTTGGTTCGGCCCTGCAGCCTGTTTTTATATCGCTAAATCCCGCCTATTTTCTAGAATAATACGCGGTCCGCCCGTATTCGGGAATACGCAAGTACTTACTCGAACTCGCAGGAGTCGTAAACAAACTATAAGGCGTCCGGATATGAGCCTTATTTCGTAGATAGTAAGGGCGGTTATCGCGGGCGCGCGTGCTATCGCTGTCCTTTGCGCGCTCGCGCTGTCTCTGTCTTTTTAGGTACTTGCCGGGCGCCGATGATTTATTACATCGCACGTTCATAATCAAACTGTCACTATACAAAAAAGTCGATTTTTCAGGAAAAGCATTTGAAGTACTCAAATTTTAAAACCTTTGCAAAATGAGCAAAATGTTCTTAAATGTTTTGTTTTTTGTTAAATACCAGTAGTGGCTTGTTTGCCTTTTACGGGAATATAAATATCTTTCAAAATATCATAATGGTTTATTTAATATTTATTTTTTTCCCTAAAAATAGTGTCACTTTTCCACTAAAATTGAGACAGTGACAGTTTTCAGTTAAAAACATGTTAATGTTGTATTATTAATTCCGGTAGAAATGTCACTATTTTCATATAAATTTGACGATGAAAGATTAAAAATGATTATTATTAAATACAACTAACATAGAAAAATCAGTAATTTTAATGAACTTAAAACTTAATAATTTGGATTAAGTGGTACCAATGGTAACAGTAATAAATGTAAATTCTCGATCAGAAAAAAATACGTTACACACATGAAATTACTATAAAATTACATCACATAAATCAACTTCTTAGAAAATAAGGTACTCTCTTGTTCAGGCAGCCTTTAAACAACAAGAACTTGATGACCTCGATGAACTTGACGAACTAGATAGTGATTTTTTATGGGAAAAAGGCTCAGAGAAGTAGGTTTAAATTCTGGATCATTATCCAGCGGCCATTACCTTTGCGAGCTATGTGCCCCGCCCACTGCCACTTGATTTTAGCAATTTTGCGGACTATGTCGGTCACTTTGGTTCTCCTGTGGATCTCCTCATATCTGAAACTAACTAAGCATCGCACGCTCCATCACCTTTTGGGTGACCTCATAAAATATCACTGGCAACACACACTGATCAAAGACTTTTGTCTTGAGGCACTGCGGTATTTCGGACGTGAGAATATCACGAAGCTTCCCGAACGCTGCCCAGCCGAGTTGGATTGACGATTGACCTCTTTCTCGAAGTTGGACCTACGTAACTGGACTGTTTGTCCCAGGTATACATAAATTGTCAACAAACTTTCGAGTGTACAGTCTCCAGATGAGTGGATACTACATGGACATTTGACATGTTTTTTGTCTTGTCCATATTCATTTTCAGGCCCACTTGTTGAGAGGCTCTACTTAGGCCATCGAGCATTATGCCTAGATCTTCCACAGTCTAAGCCATGA